GGTCTAAAACCTGACAGGTGGACAAATCTAAGCTTATTTTTAATAAAACAAATATAAATATGGATATAATAAATAATACTGCTAATAATGATAACATTATACAAAAGCAAATTGTAATGAATAAATTGAAAAAGCCTCCCGAGATGAAGAAGGCATAAAAGTTTGCTTTTTATATTTATGTAGGCTAGAAAATAATGTTTTGTAATATTTTAATCCTTTATATTTATATCCTATTGACTATATATCCTTACTCCTAGTGGTAGTATATACACATATACACTTACTCCTAGTGGTACGCGAAGGAATCGCTGAGTAATAAATTTGATGCATACGATAACACCAATGTGATCAGCATTGGCTGTTCTATAAAGCCTACGATCAAATTGTTGTGCTTAGATTGTTTACTGTCGCCCCACAGCAAGAAGGTCGCTGTGTCATTGGTTCAAACCTCGGCTCAGTTGGCGTTTCTGTGTGTAGTTTGCATGTTCTCCCTGCCTTCGCGTGAGTTTCCTCCGGGTGCTCCGGTTTCCCCCACAGTCCAAAGACATGCGGTACAGGTGAATTGGGTAGGCTAAATTGTCCGTTGTGCATGAGTGTGTGTGTGAATGTGTGTGTGTGGATGTTTCTCAGAGATGGGTTGTGGCTGGAAGGGCATCCCCTGCGTAAAAACTTGCTGGGTAAGTTGGCGGTTCATTCCGCTGTGTCAACCCTGGATTAACAAAGACACTAAGCCAAAAATAAAATGAATGAATGAATGAATGAATAAAAGGGGCATGATGGGTCCCTTTTAAGTATAACCAACACAATCTCACGGCAATTCGTAACTTTTTCATTTAGTGGCTAATTCGTATGAATTCGTACGATCTAATTCGTACAATTTAGTACGATTTGCTTATCCCCCAATGACGGTTGGGGTTAGGGGTGGGGTTAGGTGCCACGCCTCCTTTTTAAAATCGTACCATTTCGTACGACTGAACTCGTACGAATTCGTACGAATTAGCCACTAAACTGGCAAAACGTAAAATACTTACGTTTTCTCGTGAGATCAGGCTGGTATAACAGCAAAATATAGATTTACTTGAAGCTTACAATCACTCTTACTCTCCCAGTTGTTTAAGACAGCTCCAGAGGTGTTTCCAGTGGTTAGAAGTTGCCAGTAGTGGTTTTTGATGGCGCTGTAGAGTAGAACAGAACACATTTACAACAATATTCTTTTCATAGGTCATTTTTCAGTGACCTTCAGACTTGTTGATTGAATGGTGATGTTCTAAAACGGAGACGGGAGCAAACTTCCACTTTGTAAAAAAGCACTGGCTGTAATTACTGAGCATTTTTCACAAAGTTTATCTTGCTTTTATCCTTTACATTGTTATTGACCTTCTGGGGTCCATTTCACAAGCAACGACGTAACTCATGGCTGAACTATCATAGTGTGATGCATCGTTTGGGAAAAGATCGATGTAGTGACGAGTGTTTCCCAAAACGAGTAGTTTGTCTGTTGCAGATCCATCGCTTGAACCACGTCAGTTATAACGTAAAATGCCCATAATGATGCTCTAAACGGGGTGAAGTAACAACTTCTTTAGAGAAGAACCCCATCATTTATTTGTGCAAATTATATTGTTTTACAAGCACTCGCATTAAAAAAAAAAAAAAGAATCCAATATTAGTTTTGGTAAAAACATTTCCATAATTTTCCATATTAACTGAAATATACATAAATGGCACATATAGAGCTTATGTTTTCTTTACAAATATTATTGAGAACATTACATATTCTATTCTAAATTAACATAAAATCACTTACAAAAGCAAACACGTATTCTAATATCATATATAAATCATATAAATAAATAAATAATGGGGCGATTTATTAAGAAATTAAATTTAATATTTATTATTTATTAGGAAATATAAAAAATCATATTTTAATAATAATATTAATGATGATGATGATGATTACTATTATTATTATTAAAGTAGGATATTGTTTATATATTTAGTATTTTTTGAAAAGTCTACTTTTACAGTTTTACACATGAAAACCACTGCAGAAATGTTCCAACCAGCAGGCCCATGTCATATGCAGTAAATATACTTAATAAATAACCTACTATAAATGAAAAGCATTAATGTAGGCTATTTTTTACGTAAGCTTTGAAGACGTAACATTAATTCCGCTTTTAAATAAAAGGTCAACTATAGCTTTCGTCATGAGCCACGGCTGTGTTCAAAATGACATCAATGTGCACTGCAAAGGGAGCGCAATTGTAAATATTCGAGAACGCTAAAACTGAACTTTAAAAATACTTTGAAAGCAAATTACACCTAAGAGTGATCGCTTTTTTAATCATTCCAAATTTAAATGTTAGAATGCTTTAAACTAAAAAGGCATAGGGGGATAACTACAGCTCCAAAGGGGTAATTGCAAGCATACAAGTTTGCGACGTTCGCGAATGTTCATTGGTACGATGGATTTAGGAAACGCCAAATCAACAAGCTCTGTTCATAATAACGGAACTGGCAACCTTAGTCGGCTATGGCTAATGATGGTTTTCGGAAACGCACCCCTGATTGTTTGCTACCTGCCTCGACCTCAGCCTGTTACCGTTTTGCTCTTTGAATTTGCCCCTTTATATTGATGTTTTTGCTCTCTTCTTTTTAATAAAAGACTGCGAATGAATCCCTTGACTTCTCAGTCATCACAACACTGATAGTGTGCTCAAAGCTGGAATAAAAAGTACAGCCTTGTGCCAGTTTGCATTGTTGCTTTAGTGCCGTAGATAGTAGTTTCCTTGGATATTTCCATTTTTGGGAGTCCCACAGATAACTAAATTCCCGCTACAATATAACGGCACATACACTAGTCCCATATGCATGGGTTTGCAAATCTTTGGTATGGAGACATAGATGTGCACAAAGTCATTCAGGAGATTAATAATGTTTTTATTATCAACGGCAAACAGTCAATCAAACAGAATCTTTAAGGCAAAGCAGGCATCATCATTCGTCAGCAACTTGAGGTTTGTCACTTACTATTGCCTGCTTTATGGTTTAAAATGTTTGAAGAAAGACAAGGTGGAAAATGTGTTAGTTTCCTTTCTAATGTCAGAGTATATCACAATATATTATCCTAAATTTCTAACTTCCTAAAATCCTAACTCTTAGAAATTCACCATTCATTCATTTTCTTTTCGGCTTAGTCCCTTTATTAATCTGGGGTTGCCACAGCGGAATGAACTGCAACTTATACAGCACATGTTTTACGCAGCAGATGCCCTTCCAGCCACAACCCAACACTGGGAAAGAACCATAAACACTCATTCACACACATACACTAGAGCAGTGGTTCTCAAACTGTGGTAGGTGTACCACTAGTACACTTACAACACACACTTAATACACTTACTACACTTACTCCTAGTGGTACGCGAAAGAATCGCTGATTAATAAATTTGATGCATATGATAACACCAATGTGATCAGCATTGGCTGTTCTATAAGCCTACGATCAAAGCGTTGTGGTTAGATTGTTAACTTTAGTGCATTTCGTTTTTAGTCATCAGCTGCTAAAAATAAATTCAATTGGTGCAGAACTAAAAAAAAAAGAAAAAAGAGGTGTGTGGTGCTTGCAGAGCAGATACGCGGTAGAGCAGTGGTCCCCATACCTTGTCCCACAGACCGGCACCGGTCTTTAGATCAATTGGTACCGCGTCGCACAAAAAATCATTAATTATTTCCATTTTAAATGACCGTATTCTCTTGTTACATCTCAATCACTTGAGCGCCAAAATTTAACCTATGAACTGCAGCGTGATGCGCTTTTAGTACACTTCGTTATTATTGTTCATTTATTTGTTTGCTGGAAATTAAAACTGAATTTAGAATCCGTTTTCAAACAAATCGTTGTGCCTAAAAAACTAAATTAAATATGTCTTCAATGGAGTGCTAACAACACCGTTACCTTATCCATGAAAGTAAAGGAGTAAAGAGTGAAAGTAAAGAGGCCGATTGGAGAAGGCTCGTTCTTTATCCTCGCGCTGCTGATGGTCTGTTTAACTCACTGGTCTGTTTTCTCTCTGGAGAAATGTAAAGTCTGGCATGTAAATAGCAAATGTGCCAAGGTGCGACAAAATTGACTCTTGAAGGGATTTGGAGATAAGACTCTGATTGGTTTAATGCACGTTATGCTCAAAACACACCTATAACTCATTAAGGCAATAAGCACAACATCATGCGCCACGGTATAGAGCTTATTTTTCCATCCTTAAAGCAATAGTGGATTCAAACTCTCCCATAATGCGTTTGCAGCACATGGTTTGAGACTTTCCGCCTAGATCGCTAAAATAGTTTTTCCTTTCTTTCTTTTTTGTCTTTTTTTGTCATTCTTTTTATTTTTTATTTTGATTTATATAAAATCTTTTTCTTTTTTCTTTTTCTTTCTTGATTTTTTACAATTTCTTCTTTTTCATTCTTTTTCTTTTCTTTTTGTTCTTTTTTTTCATTTAGCTTTATGGCTAAATTTTTAACTTAAATGCAGCAGTTCATAGACGCGCTTATGTATTCCAGGCGCCCTCAGTTGAAAACATCTTAACTTTTCAGGATGCCGTACCGTGAGTCACGTGACACGAACCAACTGAACAGCTGCATATTTTGTATGAAATAGAATTTCGTTGAATGAATATGACTCTGCCTCGGTTTTGAACTGTGCAGTGCTGTAGCTGCTTAATTTGGCCAACTACGCTACTTTATTTCAACTTTCCAACTACGCTACTTTATTACTGGTCATTATGGTGGTACTTAGAGAGACAATTTTTTTTCTGAGGTGGTACTTGGTAAAAAAAAGGCTGCGTCTGAAACCGCCTACTACACAGTAGGTACTGCATTTGAATGTAAACGTACTACTCGGCCGTTAAAAAAGTACGCTCTATACAGTATGAATGTGAAAAGTATGAATGGAATTCGGATTTACTACATCCGCCATTTTGTCATGGTCACGCGACCTACCTGCGTCATTTGCGTCGCTTCACTCCCATTCATGAATTCGCTCGTGGGGCATCATGGGATAAAGCAGCATGCACGGGATGCGCACAACAGAATCTCGACGGAAGTAGTAAGTCATCCGGGTACTTCTCGCATACTGATTTTCGAATTCTATGAAGTCGGACATACTACTCGGCTCGCATACTGATTGTAGCGTACTATATAGTATGGAAGTATGCGGTTTCGGACGCAGACAAAGTTTCACTTTGGGATCACTGCACTAGAGTATCATTGCATATTTATTTTCAAAAGCATTTCTGCCCTCAAGCTCTTGTATTTACACGCTGATCCAAAAGTCACTTTCAGTCAAAGGGTTTGAATTCTTCCCAATACGGCTTGGCAGCACCATATGTGTTAGTGTGCGCAGGACTGGCAGCGCTCTCTGCCGTCAGGGTTACACGCTGGACAGCGCAGTTCTCTGATTGACTCATTGAAGCGGTTGGCCAGCATGGACAGTTTGCTGCCATGACAAAGTGAGCACGGCGCACAACCCGAACCTCCACACTGTTCACAGGAGCTTGCATCTGGCTGCACAAAAAAAAAAAAAAGTCATGTAAACAAAGCAGAAAGTGCACAAGCAATCAAAATGATAAGACAAAGTGCATACTTAAAGCCTGCAGCTGGCAGTGTTGTTTTCATATATTAAATATGCTGTTAAAGTTTACAATGTGCAAAATCTGCAACAAGATAAATAGGTAACACTTTATAATAACTACACACTATGAACCATTTATTAAGCATTAGTATCTAGTGAATTCATCATCTGTTAAGCATTAACTCTACATTAATAAACGTTAGTAAGCAGTTTTTAACTGCAGTTATAAATGCTGTATTCTTGACTTACAACCACATTTATAATGTGCTTAATAATTGTATTTTCATACTTTGTTAATAATTTATTTTTCATTACTAAATTAAGTATTGCATTATTTACAAACCATTTGTATTTAAGAGTAGATGGAGGTTTTTACGATCATTCAGAATGAGTTAGTAAATGATTAATAAACTACCGAAATCAAGGTTTATATATCTCATTTTTCAGGCATATACTAATGGTTTTTATGTATGTTAATAAATGCTTTATTAACTCAACCCAATGCAGTTGTGTGACCTAATCTAAAGTGAGGACTATTCATGCTTCATAAATCCCTTATAAATGATAATTAAAGGCTCAGAATCAAATGAACAAAAATCATCGAAATCTTATCTAAAAAGTAAAATTACTGTAAATATTAAACATTGCTGAATAACAGGAGTGTCAAAATACAACATAAAATTGTATAAAACAACAACAATACAATAATTTAACAATATAAAAAGATGCAATGTTTAAACTGTACAGTGATTTTATTTTAGATCAGGTTGCACAGATTTACTTTTTCATTTGATACAGTTTGATTTGTGTATCTTCAAATGAATAGAAATGAATAATGTTGTTTATTTCCTTTAATTTACTTTTATTTTTACTTTTATTTTCTTTAATTTCCTTTTTAGAATTTTCCTTTGTAGAATTTAACTGACTCTTTAATTGTCATTTATAAGGGATTTATAAAGCATAATTAGTCCTCACTTTAGATTAGGTCACAAAACTGGATGAAATTGAGTTAATAAAGCATTTATTAATGTATTAGTTAACTATTAATATATGCCTGAATAATAAGACATATAAATGTTGATTTCAATAGTTTTTTTATGATTTACTAACTCATTCTGAATGATCCTAAAAAACCACCAACTATGCTTAAATAACTGGTTTGTAAATAAGGCAATACTTCATTTAGTAATGAAAAATAAATCATTAACAGAGTATGAAGGTACAATTATTAAATGCATTATAAATGTGGTTGTAAGTCAAGAATAAAGATTTTGTAGCTGCAGTTATAAACTGCTTGCTAACGTTTATTAATGTAGAGTTAATGCTTAACAGATAATGAATTCTCTATTTGCTAATGCTTAATAATTGATTCACACTGTGTAGTTATTTTAAAGTGTTACCGATAAATATTTTACCAAAATAAGAGGCATCACATAAAAAATGCAAGTTTATTTAATACTGACCTGAATAAGAGTAAGATATTTTTACATAAAAGTTCAAAAGTTAATTGTGTTGTTACCTGAACCAAGGTTATTTTTAATTATTTAGTCCCCTTTAGTCATCAGTAAGTTAGTTAAACCTTTGCCTCCCAGTTTTTTAGAATAAAGTCTCACAAAAATAAAACAAAACACAAAAATTGTCGGTAACACAATGAATCATTTATTAAGCATTAGCAAATAGTGAATTCATTATTTGTTAAGCATTAACTCTACATTAATAAACGTCAGTTTATAACTGCAGGTACAAATGCTCTATTCTTGACTTATAATCACATTTATAATGTGCTTAATAGAGTTTTCATACTTTGTTTATGATTTATTTTTCATTTCTAAATTAAGTATTGCATCATTTACAAACCATTTGTATTTAAGAGTAGTTGAGGGTTTTTAAGATCATTCAGAATGAGTTAGTAAATAATTAATAAACTATTCAAATTAACAATTATAATTTGTATTATTCAGGTATACAGTAATGTTTACTATGTATGTTAATAAATGCTTTATTAACTCAACTTCATCCAGTTTTGTGACCTAATCTAAAGTGAGGACTATTTATGCTTTATAAATCCCTTATTGATGATAATTAAAGGCTCAGAATCAAATGAACAATAATCTTTTCAATCTTATCTAAAAAGAAAAGTTACTCTAAAGTTTAAACATTGCTGAATAACAGGAGTGTCAACATACAACATCCAACTGGATAAAACAACAACAACAATATAATAATTTAACAATATAATAAGATGCAATGTTTAAACTCTACAGTGATGTTATTTTAGATGAAGTTTCAGTTTCATTTGTGTATCTTCAAATGAATAGAAATTAATAATGTCCGTTATGTTTTCTATTTAGAATAAAAGTGAGCCTTTAATTATCATTTATAAGTGGTTTATAAAGCATAAATAGTCCTCACTATGGATTAGGTTACAAAACTGGATGAAGCTGAGTTAATAAAGCATTTAATAGTAATATTTAATAGTATATGCCTGAATAATAAGACATATAAATGTTAATTTGAATAGTTTATTAATCATTTACTAACTCATTCTGAATGATCTTAAAAATCCTCAACTATTCTTAAATATAATTGGTTTGTAAATAGTACAATATTTAATTTAGTGATGAAAAATAAATCATTAATAAAGTATGAAAACTCAGCTATTAAGCACATTATAAATGTGCTTATAAGTCAAGAATAGAGCATTTGTAGCTGCAGTTATAAACTGCTCACTAACGTTTATTAATGTAGAGTTAATGCTTAACAGATAATCAATTCACTATTTGCTAATGCTTAATAAATGATTCAGAGTTTGTAGTTATTATAAAGTGTTACCAAAATTGTCAACTTCAACTGTTCATCCTAGATATTTACATCAATATAAACACTTTCTTTATTTGTAAATGTTTCAAACTGCATGTATAGACATAACTAAAGAGAACTGATATTACAATTTTAGCCTACAAAATATGTTACACTGTAAAGAATGCAGGGTTCCACATAAATTATTCATATTGACCCAACACAAATCGATTAAGATAACAACACTTTTAACAAATTTATGTGGATTGTTGGGCAAAAGGAATGTATTTTTTTTATTATTTTTGACTCTTTTTCTTTTCATCAAACAATTATTTGTATTGGTCATGTAAGGGTCATATATTAACTGAACTTCTACTGTTGTGTTTGAGATGCTGTGCATACTAATTAATATTTTTGCAGAGGTAGATAAATGCTGGTCCAAAATTAAATTCAGCTCTGCAGAAATTTCCTGTTTAAAACAGACACAGAAAGTCTTATGCTTTTATTGTTGTGCAGAGAATTCGTATAGAAAAAGATTACTTACAGTTATAATCAGAATTATTAGCCCCCCTTTGAATTTTTTTTTCTTTTTTAAATCTTTCCCAAATGATGTTTAACAGAGAAAGGAAATGTTCACAGTATGTCTGATAATATTTTTTCTTCTAGAGAAAGTCTTATTTGTTTTATTTCGGATAAAAGTAGTTTTTAATTTTTTAAAAGCCATTTTAAGGTCAAAATTATCATCCCCTTTAAGCTATATATTTTTTCGATAGTCTACAGAACAAATAATTGTTATACAATAACTTGCCTAATTACCCTAACCTGCCTAGTTCACCTAATTAACCTTGTTAAGCCTTTAAACGTCACTTTAAGCTGTATAGAAGTGTCCTGAAAAATATGTAGTCAAATATTATGCACTGTCATCATGGCAAAGATAAAATCGATACCTTTTGTTCCGTCATTGTGGCGGGTTCATCTGGCTGGGAACATGTTGTTTTATGTCTCCCTTTGCTCCGGGAATCCCGTTTTGGTGAACTTTCTTTTCTGTCCCGGCTGCGATGAGGACTCTTTCCAGATTCTCCCCGTCTGTGAGAAGCTCGAATAATCTTCAGGTTGCTGGTGTAAATGATAATCTTTCCAAAATCTAATACTGGTGCCTAAAAAATCAAACACAGATTACCAATAAAATAACTAGTGTAAAATCCAGTGTAAAATGTGACAGATTCTTACAACTATGTAACTACATAGTAAGTAATGTGTAACACTATTGAACAAACATTGCAACTGTAATACATTTTATGTATGTATGTAGCCATGCATTTATTTATTTTTCATTACCATTCAAAAAATAATGTATGACTACTTATGTGTGTGCATTAAAACAGACTAATATAATTAAATACTACCTTTGTACATTTTTTTACTTTTGATTTTAAAATATTTCAAAAATGCTTCTGCGATTATTGTAAAGAGTAATTAATTTTTAAATCTGTGATTCTTAACTATTGCCTACATAACAGATTTTAGAAAAACTTCCGTTTACTCGAGCATACAACTGTCTCTGAAACTGAGCTGCGGCCCATTTATCTCAAAATTAAAAACTTAAAAATAAGCTGACATGACATATTAATAGTCATCAGTTCATTAGTTAGGAAACATCACACAAAAATATATTCATCAGGTTCTGATGTTGTCTTTTTTTTTTGGTGCACTATGCCTTCTTTCATCTAAGAAATATTGCTAAGTCATGAAGTATGCTATCCATCTCAGATGCAGAAAAGCTAGTCTATGCTTTTATGACCTCTAGGCTGGACTACTGTAATGCTCTGTTTGCTGGCTGCCCAGCATCCTCTATTAACAAACGTCAGCTAGTACAAAATGCAGCTGCCAGAGTTCTAACCAGGTCTAGAAAATATGATCATATCACCCCAATTTTATCCTCCTTACACTGGCTGGCTGTTAAGTTTCGTATTGATTTTAAATATTGCTTCTTACCTATAAAGCTTTAAATAATCTAACTCCTGTTTATCTAAACAACCTTTTATCTCACTACAATCCAACCCGCTCTACAAGATCTCAAAACTCAGGACTTCTTGTAGTACCTCAAACAGCAAAGTCGAGTAAAGGAGGTTGAACCTTCTCATTTATGGCTCCTAAACTCTGCAATAGCCTTCCTGATAATGTCCGAGGCTCAGAAACGCTCTCGCAGTTCAAAACTAGATTAAAGACCTATCTTTTTGGAAAAGCATACACTCAGTGCATCACATAATGGTATAATGCATGAATGTGCTCCATGCATCTTGTTTATATACTGCCACATCTGTCAGTGACCACCTCAGGGTGCTGTAGTGCATCAGGACTCAGAAGGCACTACAGCGTCCCAGAAAGACTACATATCCATACATACCACGCGCATACACCGGAACACATACACTGATCTGTCACCGCATCTGTTCTGTTTTACCGTTGATTATCTGGACTATATATTCCATCATTCCACCGTTGTTTGTCATCGCGTCGTTTGTCTTCCTTGTCTTTCCTGCCGCCGTGTTTCCAGTAAGTCTAGTATTCGAGTTTTGATTCCTGAGCCCTGTCTCTGTTTTATGTTTCTTGTTTTGTTGTTTATTTGTACTTTGAACACCTTGTTTCTCTGTTGATGCGCACTGTAAATAAACTGCACTTGGATCCGCACCTTTTTGTTTCCGTTTCAATCACTCATAACGTGACATACAGTATACGCTATGAACAGCAGCTACGCTGATTATTTTCTTTATTCTCTATTTCCACCTGGGGAGACTCATCCCGAGGCCCCCAGAGACTAAGCAGCGCCACTGATTCGATGCAAGACCAGCAGGGAGATGATCCCAAGGCTTCCATATTCCTGGACTAGGCTGTATCCTGAGCAGCTGCTGTGGTGGTCATCATGGAGGAGTGGAGAGCATGAGACTGATTCCTGTGACGCACCAGGGACAGATGAGTCTCACTGACATCCAGCTCCAGCGCCTAGACTGTAGCCCTGCGCAAGACGTTTGGCCATGGGAGAAATGGTCGTGCCCAACTGAGCCTGGTTTCCTATGTATTTTTTTAATTCTTCACTTTTGCCAATTGGTTACGTTTTTACCTCGCAGCTGTCGCCACTGGCTTGCATGGTTCGGGATCTGTAGAGCTGCGCATCGATGGATTTGCTCTTCAGTGTTTGGACTTTCAGTAGTGATTATTAAACCACACTGAACTAAACTAAACTGAACTAAATTTAAAACTGAAAACTGACCCTGTTTTAATTTACTATAATCTTCTATGTGAAGCTGCTTTGATACAATCTACATTGTAAAAGCGCTATACGAATAAAGGTGAATTGTAATGTTGCTGTTTGTGCATGTAAGACCTCCACAAAATGATTCTTTGCCATCTGAAAGAGAAGGCTGTTTCAGACCTGCTAAAAACACCACGACCAAATTGTCCCTTACATACTACACTATATGCAAATAACTATCGATGCAACAGCTTATTTTTCATTAAAGCTACATAGATGAAAATAGCATCCACCAAAAAAAGTGGTAAACTGGACATACTATCATAAATCATATAATATTATTATATTATATATATAAATCGATATATTTTATTGCCAAAGATCATGTGACTAATTTATGCAAACTCTGTACCAGTTGTGTAGGTTGTGAACAATTAAAACCCAAAAATTAACCCATTTTGGTCAAGAGATCCTCAGTGTACAGCATTTAACTTCTGACTTGACATACTGTATAACGCATGAAATAATTTTATTTGTAGAGAAAATTACTGACGTGTCTCACGGGAACCAGAAGTCTGTAGTTCATAACCCCTCGTGACATATGGGTTATTTTTCCAACAGGTTTTGTAAGCTTTGGCCTCTACCCAACATTATGCAGCATGGAAAAGACAGAATTAAAAAAAAAATACAACTGCTCTGACAGTGTTTGTCTGACAGAAGAAAGTCGTGCACACAGAGGATGAGTTTAGGATGAGTAAAATATTGGGTGCATTTCATTTTTGACTAAACTATTTCTTTAAGGACAGTGCGAGTCGATAGAAAAAGGAAACCACTCCGGGAGAAAAGACAGGGAACAGAATTAGGACTGATCCAAATCCGCAGTTTAACCAAGGCTGCATGGTTTTGACAAATGTGAGCCGCTGATAGATTAATTGATAAAGATCCTGTCAGCTTTGATACATGCACAACAAAGGATCGCTGACAGTATTTCAACACCATGTCACAGGTGAGATTTCAATGAAAATGTAAGCTCTAAAGAGCTTTCAATCTTATCTAAGGATCCACATTGTTTGATTATGTTTAAGACCATATACAGTTGAAGTCAGAATTATTAGCCCCCCTTTGATTTTTTTTTCTTTTTAAAATATTTCCCAAAAGTTGTTTAACAGAGCAAGGAAATTTTCACAGGATGTCTGATAATATTTTTTCTTTTAGAGAAAGTCTTATTTGTTTTATTTCGGCTAGAATAAAAGCAGTTTTTAATTTTTTAAAAGCTATTTAAAGGTCAAAATTATTAGCCCCTTTAAGCTTTATTTTTTTCGATAGTCTACAGAAAAAAACTATTATTATACAATAACTTGCCTAATTACCCTAACCTGCCTAGATAACCTAATTAACCTAGTTATGCCTTTAAATGTCACTTTAAGCTGTATAGAAGTGTCTTGAAAAATATCTGGTCATATATTATTTACTGTCATCATGACAAAAATAAAATCAATCAGTTATTAGAGATGAGTTATTAAAACTATTATGTTTAGAAATGTGTTAAAAACAGAAATTGGGGAAAAAATAAACAGGGGTGCTAATAATTCAACTGTATGTGAATAATGCTCTTTTCTTTACTTTTTTTCCAGAGTTAAGTCAGTGGAAATGGAAGGGAATCTGAAAACGTTTGCGTAGTTGGGATGCAATTCCATGTCTGTGTTTAAAAGCTCTGCTGGAGTGTTGGTCTATTTTTAGATCTGGGAACTATGAATTAGTAACAGTATTGCATAACCACAGACAGGGACAAAACACAATCTGAAATATTTCACTGCATTCACTGAGCCAGAATTAAACTAAAAATAATGAGGGCAGGGTGGCAGGTCGCCTCACAGCAAGAAAATCACTTCTTTTGTCAGTTGGCATTTCTACTACCCAAGCTCATTCTGGAAACGTAGCCCCGCAGACGTTTCTGGAGGCCGCGATTTACGTGGCCGGAGGTACGTAAAGGCCGCGTTTGTTTTTTTCGAGCGAACGCCGCGGGGTGGTGTGGTGCCGCTCCGCCCCTCCTCTTCGCGCTCGCCGGCCGACGGCTCGCCTCCGAGTGGAGGGCTTTCCCGACGCAATCAGTTTGTCCGCCTAGCTCACAGCGTTGCGTCGGCAGAGCGGAGGCCCCGGACGAGGAGGAGGATGAGGAGCCGGCCGCGGTGGACGACGACCGGGATCGAGTCCGGAGAACAGCAGGTTCCGGAAATCCTGAGATGCGCCCGCCCGAGACGTGACGCGAAAAAGCGCGCACAGCGGCCTCTCGCGGATCCGCGAAAACAAAAAAACGCTCGAATACGTACCTCCCGGGACGTAAAACGCGGTCCGCAGAAACGTCCACGGGGCTACGTTTCCACAATGAGCCCGGGTTGCATTTCTAACACAATCTCACGGCAATTCATAACTTTTTGATTTAGTGGCTAATTCGTATGAATTCGTATGATCTAATTCATACAATTTAGTACGATTTGCTCATCCCCCAATGACGGTTGGGTTTAGGGGTGGGGTTAGGGGCCACGCCTCCTTTTTAAAATCGTACCATTTCGTACGACTGAACTTGTACGAATTAGCCACTAAACTAGCAAAACGTAAAATACTTACGTTTTCTCGTGAGATCAGGCTGGCATTTCTGTGTGGAGTTTGCATGTTCTCCCCATGTTTACATGGGTTATTCCCACAGTCCAAAGATATTCAGTATAGGTCAACTGGATAAACTAAAATGGGCCTATGACAAATTTTGCCTATTAGTTTTGCCTATAACAAATGATCATTTGCAAAACGTCACCTTCATTATGAATGTATCATGTACCATTGCAAAGTGTATGGATTGCTACTTGTATATGAAGTAAATGATGATACAGTAAAAAAAAAAAAAAAGCTATTTTCACTAAAATGTGAATAATATTAGAAAATAATTAATAGATTTTAGTTTTGCGTGTTTTACATGTCTTACGTGTTTCAGTTTTTAGTTTGACGATCGGGTTGTCGTGGTCCTAAACTTCAACCACCTCCCATTTCACAATGCACCGGCCCCTTACAGCTCCCCCTGCAGGTGGTGGGCCTGCAGGAGGATGGTCCCTTGTCACTCCTTCGGGCTAAGCCCAGCTGGAGTTTATCCAATTACCCACGCATTCCGAGTCTAGTGTGAACACAGCGTTAAACACTGCATGGAAAGTAATTTTCAAAAACCTATAAAATGAGCTTTTTAACATGCTGGAGCCAGGTCTAAACAATTAGAAAGGTCCCCATTACACCAGAGGAAAACATGCATTTGTATATTTTAACTTACTGGTATTATTTGTATTATTTTACCAAAAACAGAGCGGTGTGAACATTGCAGTATGGGTTGCCTTTTTAATGCATTTTTGAAAAGTGTCACTAAGCAGTTCAAAGCACAAATGTGTTCTTACTTTATTATCCCCTCCTGGGATGTCTCCACAGGCCAGAGAATTGCATCCTGTCACTCCTCGATAGACATTTATCCTCTGGGCAATCAGGCCTGTCTGAGGGTACAAACTCTGGTCCTGCATATCTTCTAAGTCACATAACTGTCCCATCTCCATCTTGGTGTGGATGAAGCTGTGAGGGTACTGCTCCTCTGGACTGTCCAGTTCCTGTCCATCTTCATACACATGCTTCAAGACCCGACCACTGTACGATGAGGCCAGCTTAAACCTTACCTTCCTTGGCTTGTCTTCGATCAAGGTGCCTGGTTGCCTTTGGAGCTCCTCCATGGTCTCTCTCAGGTGAAATTACTACTGGTCTTGAAAAGAACAGGAGGAAAAACTGGGAAAGAAAAGTAGTGAGGTGAGACTAGGGGAGTCCAGATGCTTTCTATAGCCCTGATGAATAATTGAGCAGGAGATCTTGTGCACAACCGTTGAAAACGGAGACCTTGCAGTTTCATCAAATAATGATGGTTAAAGCAGAGAAGCAAGTGTGTCTCTAAAGCTTAAGTATCACATGCAATGAATTTAAGAAACCTCTATATTACACTGCAAAATTGGAATAATAAATTTGCATAACACTTTATTTTGATTATTTATTTTGATACACCATTTGAGTATTAATAGACTGTCTGCTTAATATCTGTTGATACTTCTCCTTCAACAGACATTTAACTGACTATAAGAAACTTTGCAAGTACATTTCAACTTACACTAACCCTAACCCAACCCTAACAGTCTACTTATAATCTAATAGGAATTAGTTGACATGTAGATGCAATGTACAAATGCACCAAAATAAAGTGTGACTCAAATATGTCCTTATTTAGAGTTTTCCTCTTTCAGTCCAACTACCTAAAAATTGAGTTCTAAAAGTACAGAAGCATTTCCTAGACAAGCAAAACTAGTCAAAAATAAGTGAGTGAAAATCTGCCAATACACTCTCACAAATAAAATACCAAAATAGCATCTTAAAAGTACACTTGTGCACCTCATAGTGCCCAAAATGTTCTTATTTCAAACTGAAAAACAACATTATTGTGACAATGGCGGTGGTGACGACATGGAAACAGATGGGATCCAAATGCAAGAAGTTTAATAGTAAAGAGTAAACAAATCCAAAACACTAGGCTAAATCGTAGTCAAAAAGCAGGCAGGTTCAAAGTAACAAACAGAGTGTCCACCAAGGCAAACAAGGCAAAAACAGTCTTCCAAAATCAGTTGTCAAAAAGAACAGGCTCAAAGGTCATAACAAAAGGCAGATCAAACAGAGAAAATACGCTTTGTAAGGCAGCAGATACTGGCAATACTTCGCATTGAGTGTTTGGTGTGGCCAGGTTAATATGGCCACCAAACAGGAAGTAACCAACGAAGAACTGACAGTTAGAATTCCGGTGAGGGCTCCCTCTGCAAGTTGGATGAGTGGTTGTCAGTTCTGTTTGTTACAATTATTTTACTTTCTTAAATGGCAGATTATTTGGCTTTTAAAGGGAAAGACCTAAATTTGTCTTATTTCTGAAATCAAACCATTTTAGCTTTAAATGCTTAATGCGTAAATATACGAAAGAAAAATCACATGCAATCATATGAAATAAAATCATATTATTAACTAAATAAAAAATGGTTGGTATTGTGTACAGAAATGTTGCGATTATATTGACTCGCCATAATTAATATAGCTGTTTCTGTTTAAAAAATCTTTTAATTTGGAAACATTCATTAATTTCATTTTCTTGTTCTTGTATTCTCTTTATTAATCCAGGGTCGCCACAGCGGAATGAACCGCCAACTTATCCAGCAAGTTTTTACGCGGCGGATGCCCTTCCAGCCGCAACCCATATCTGGGAAACATACACACACACACACACACTCATACAATTTAGCCTACTCAATTCACCTGAACCACATGTCTTTGGTCTATGGGGGAAACCAGAGCACCTGGAGGAAACCCACGCAAAGGCAGGGAGAACATGCAAACTCCACACAGAAATGCCAACTAAGTCAAGGTTCGAACCAGCGACCCAGCGACCTTCTTGCTGTGAGGCGACAGCACTACCTACTGCGCCACTGCCACGCCCCAAGTGTGACCCAATATGTTCTTATTTAAAGTTTTCCTCTTTCAGTCCAACTACCTAAAAATTGAGTTCTAAAAGTACAGAAGCATTTCCTAGACAAGCAAAACTAGTCAAAATTAAGTGGGTGAAAATCTACCAATACACTCTCAGAAATAAAATACCAAAATAGCATCTTAAAAGTACACTTGTGCACCTCATAGTGCCCAAAATGTTCTTATTTCAAACTGAAAAACAACATTATTTTACTTTCTTAAATGGCAGATTATTTGGCTTTTAAAGGGAAAGACCTAAATTTGTCCTATTTCTGAAATCAAACCATTTTAGCTTTAAATGCTTAATGCGTAAATATACGAAAGAAAAATCACATGCAATCATATGAAATAAAATCATATTATTAACTATATAAAAAATGTTTGGAATTGTGTACAGAAATGTTGCGATTATATTGACTCGCCATTATTAATATAGCTGTTTCTATTTAAAAAATCTTTTAATTTGGAAACATTCATTAATTTCATTTTCTTGTTCTTGTATTCCCTTTATTAATCCAGGGTCACCACAGCGGAATGAACCGCCAACTTATCCAGCAAGTTTTTACGCGGCGGATGCCCTTCCAGCCGCAACCCATATCTGGGAAACATACACACACACACACACACTCATACATTTTAGCCTACTCAATTCACCTGTACCGCATGTCTTTGGTCTATGGGGGAAACCAGAGCACCCGGAGGAAACCCACGCGAAGGCAGGGAGAACCTGCAAACTCCACACAGAAATGCCAACTGAGTCAAGGTTCGAACCAGCGACCTTCTTGCTGTGAGGCGACAGCACTACCTACTGCGCCACTGCCACGCCCTGTCACGTTCAACAAAAATAAGAGTCAAAATAGGATCCAATAGCAAGTAAAAATAAGGTTTATTTGACCAAGTCAAAATAAACAAACAAGGAAGTGACAGGCTAGGAGGACGACGAACACAGGGCAGGAACAGACAGGAAAACAGGGTCCAGAAATATCTCCTCAGGGGCCTGAGCACAGATAACACACATGAGAACAGATGTAACGAACTGACAAAGAGACATAGAAACGTCGCCCTGATATAGGGCTAATAATGAGCCTCAGCTGGTGAGTAATCAGCCCCGCTGAGTGTCGTCATATCACGTGAGCATAACAAATACACATGGACAACCAAAACAAAACAAACCCACGTGATCAAACATACACTCCGGAAAAGCGCACAAACCTGCAACCGTGACACGCCCCAAGTGTGACCCAATATGTTCTTATTTAGAGTTTTCCTCTCCCAGTCCAACTACCTAAAAAGTGAGTTATAAAAGTACAGAAGCATTTCCTAGACAAGCAAAAACTAGTCAAAAATAAAAGAGTGAAGATCTGCCAATACACTCTCAGAAATAAAATACCAAAATAGCATCTAAAAAGTACACTTGTGCACCTCATAGTGCCCTAAATGTACAAAAGTGTAACACTTCAAAGTATCACTGCGCACCTGTACGATATAAATAAGCCCACTCCAGTGACCTTTAACTTTATGTTTGGATCTCTATATTTTGTAATAGTGTAGGGCAAGCAAAATGTTCTTATTTCAAACTGAAAAACAAATTTTTTTCAATGCCCTCAGTTATATCCGCGTCTAGGGCGATATAATAGAGAGGGTGGCGTCCCCGACACTACCCTCACCACCCCCACCCTCAGTAATATCCGCGACTAATAGAGAGGGCGGTGTCCATGACACCATCCTCACGGCCCGCGCCCTCAGTTCGCGTCTAGGGAGGCAGGATAGAGAGGGCGGCGCCTGCGACACCACCCTCACCACCCGCGCCCTCAGTTATATCCGCGTCTAGGGCGATAGAATAGAAAGGGCGGCGTCCCCGGCACTACCCTCACCACCCGCGCCCTCAGTTATATCCGCGTCTAGGGCGATAGAATAGAGAGGGCGGCGTCCCCGACACTACCCTCACCACCCGCACCCTCAGTTATATCCGCGTCTAGGGCGATAGAATAGAGAGGGCGGCGTCCCCGGCACTACCCTCACCACCCGCGCCCTCAGTTATATCCGCGTCTAGGGCGGCAGAATAGAGAGGGTTGGGGTTGAGGGCGGCGTGACCGTCCTTTGCCTTGAGCGGCAGTTCAACTTGCTCCGGCCCAGGTCGCAAAAGTAGGCCCTACACCATACTAATGAATTATTATTATACATATATTATTATAATATAATATGTTGCAATTTTAATGAGCTTATCTCAGCACACTGGACATATTTGCATGGTATTGTTTTAAATATAAAGATGCTATTTGCAAGTTAAGCATGCACTGTGTAAAACAGTGGAAATACCTGAGATCAGCTAGAAGGGAGCCATTTCACTTGACAGTATCTAACATACGGCTCACATTAACCCGTGTGCCTTCTAACATCTATCTTGCAGCTACCTTCCTATTTGACGGTTATTGCATTCTAGTCCACTGCCAAGAAAGTTAGCTTCTCTTCCCTTCCTATGTTCATATCTGCTATCATATGAAATCATTCGAGTGATAAATTATTCTGTGTACGTCTCAGTAACAGACTTATTGGAGGTGTCAAGTTTCCAACTAGGCTTTACTAAATGATTATTAATCTATTGTTGAAGTCAGAATTTTTAGCCCCCCTGTTTATTTTTTTCCTCAATTTCTGTTTAATGGAGAGATTTTTACAGCACATTTCTAAACATAATAGTTTTAATAACTCATTTCTAATAACTGATTTATTTTATCTTTGCCATGATGACAGCAAATAATATTTGACTAGATATTTTTCAAGACACTTCTGTACAGCTTAAATTGACATTTAAAGGCTTAACAAGGTTAATTAGGTTAACGGTATAACGATGGTTTGTTCTGTAGACTATCGAAACAAAAATAGCCTAAAGGGGCTAATAATTTTTTCCTTAAATTGTTTTTTTTTTTTTTTTTATTAAAACTGCTTTTATTCTAGCCGAAATAAAACAAATAAGACTTTCTCCAGAAGAAAACATATGATCAGACATACTGTGAAAATGTCCTTGCTCTGTTAAACATCATTTGGGAAATATTTAAAAAAGAAAAAAAATCAAAGGGGGGCTAATAAGTCTGACTTCAATTGTACATGCATACATGCAGTTGCCAGTGGAGAATTAATGTTTTTTCTCCAGTGTACCTCAATTGGAACATACTATTTTCTGAGTGCTGTAGACGTTGTCTTGATGCATTTGATGATATGCCATCAGTTTCTTATTTTCCAGATGCTTATAGAAGTGCATGCTGCTGGGA